TTAGATCAATAGCTAGAAATCAGCTTGTATTGTATTGATCTGCTGAGAAGATTATGTATGAAGATGACAAGTAGTAATGGCTGACACAGACCAATTTCCAATTGCCTAATGGATTTAACACTTTTCAATTCTGTGAATATGAGTATTGAAAGTATTTTAAATATTTTTACAGTATGCTCAGTAACAATAAGAATACAATTTGGAGAGTTTAAACTATAACTATTGGCATGAAAATATAATTTTTATCCTTTAAGCATCATTTAGTAAACAATTAATAAGCCAAGGATGTGTAGAAAGTAAACTTGTTACTTGGTGTTAAATGTTTAAAAATGTGTGGCTAAACATCAAAAAATCAGTTCTATGGCAAACGTGAGGTAAGTAATGGGAAAATGTGACAGAGCATAACTGATGCTTCATTTATGATACAGTATCTAAGCTCCATTCATTCAACTCTTTTTATTAAGAAGCCTGTATCCATTCTCAGCTCACAGCAGTTGAATAAAATACAGCATCTAAAATGATGATTATGGGGGTTTTTATTCTAAGTCTTGTCATTGCCAAATGCTTCTTCTTTTTTTCTCCCCACTTGATATGAATGTATAAAAGGAATTATTTGAATTGAATCAACTGGAACATTCCACGTCACTGGGGGTGCTGGTGGATGAGAGGCTGGATGTAAGGTGGCAATGTGCACTTGCAGCCCAGATATGTAATTATATGGGTATGTAATTATAATTTTTTTATTTTTTTAATTGCAGAAAACAACCAGCATATATGTACTTCACATGTACCTGTTATCCAGAATATTTGAGAAAATGAGTGCTTAAAGATCACAGAGTTCTCATGTCATTACTTGGTTTCTATTGAATTTTAATGAGTAAGGTTTCAAGACCTTGTTCACAAGCAATGGCAATATATTAGTATGTGAATGGAAGTGTCTTAAGAACAGTCGTGAGAAGTATTGGAAGTATTTGTGGGAAAATTTTGTACAAATCTTATTAATGATTTGATTTAACTTCTGTCAAACTTCTTGACACTGTTGGTGAGGAAGTCAGCTATGGAAGGTACCCCATTGGACCTGTTCTCTGTTAACAGAAAAGGACTGGTAGGTGATGTGATGATTGGAGCCTGTCTTGGGACACAGCAATCACAGAATTATGGTTTTCAATTCTTGGAGAAGTAAGTAGCAGGGTTTGCAGAACTGTTACCTTGGGCTTTGGCGTTTTTAGGAGACTGGTTGATAGAGTCCCTTAGGGGGAAGTCCTGAAGAGCAAAGGAGCCCAGAAAGGCTGGACATTTTTCAAGAAGTAAATTTTAAAGGTACCAGAGCATCCTCCCCATGTCCTGAAAGACTAGGGAAAGAAGACTGCCCTGGCTGCCCACGGAAGTGGTGGAGTCACCCTCCCTGGAGGCATTTAAAAGACCTATACATGTGACACCTAGGGGCATGAGTTAGTTGTGTCTTTGGCACTGCTGGGTTAATGATTGGACTCAACAAGTTTAAAGGTATTTTCTAATGTAAATGATTCTATGACTGTATGATTCCTTAGATTTCACAAAATGTCACAGTATATAAGAATGCAATAAAATTTTTATTGAGGCAATGCATTATAAAAAAAGTCTACCAATCAACAGTGTTGCAGCAGTTGGTCACACAAAAATGAAATAATTATTTCTTAACAGAATTAAATTATTATAGAGTCTTTCAAAATTTATAGATATTTATTCATACATTCTGGGCACTATATTTTACCTAACAGGAATCTCAGTTTATACACTCTTTTTACTTAGCTTGTGTTGACAGTTCACACACCGAAGACTTCACTCATCTCCTATTTGCAGTACAGTGTTGTAGAACTACCCACTCACCATACAGGATTGGGTACTAACACAAAATTGTGAAGGTGTTAATGAAACAGGAAATAACCACATCTGATTTCCTTCCAGTTCCTTCTAATGGAAGATTATAATTTCATCACACCTAAGTGAACAATATATATTTTGCTTTCGTCATGTCTGGCTTGGTGAACTCCTTTAGCCTTACTGGGCCAATAAGGAACTGGTATTTGTTATGTCCTAGCAGTTTTCAAAAACCATTTACCACTACTACCAAGTTACCCACAGTCAAATTTCACTCTGTTGCCAGGTAACATTGGCCATGGAGATCATCTGGATGACTTTACACAAAATTTTATCAAAGGGACATATCACTCAGAGAAAGAATTTAAATCAGATGATTGAGTGCAAATAAATTAATGTATTTTTTATCTTGTTATCTCCATAAGAGCTAAGTCTGTCTGCCTAAAAAATATTGTCTGGGGTTTGTGTCTTAATTTACTCTTCCTGAACTACTACTGAGGGCAGAATGTCATTGCCACCTACATGGAAAACTAAGTGTTCAAAAATCTTTTAACCTTAGCCTCTCAGTTTTTTCACTCACTCTGTGCTACTTTACCTGACGAGTGCAAATGATATCTTCCCAAATCATGCTGTAGCCATTGTGCTCTGTCCTGTTCCAATTATATTTTTTGCTTGTAACTCACAGCCATCAAATGAAAGAATACCAAGAAATTAAATGAAGGATATGCACTACAAAATTAGTGTTAGTTCATTCTATACCTTTTTAGTCTTTAAGTGTGTTTAAAATAATAAAGGAATGCGTAGGCACACAGTTGTCTACCACGTGTTCCTAGGAGCATGTAAACACTCACAGGATTCAGCTCTGTAAACAGTAGGCCAAAATATTTTACCTATTTATCTTATAAAGTGTGGAGCTGAGAAGGAAGTTCTACATCTTTTACCCTTTTTAGGTGCATGAGAAGTACAGTCAGAAACTGGCTAAAATAATGTTTTGTTCTGTCCTTTACTACTGAAATATTAATAGTTACTATATTTTATGATAAATTTAAACAATTTATATAATCCCTCTGAATGCTGAATTTCTCTTGTTGTACTGCATCATTCTGTCCTGAAATTTACTGCATAGAGTTAGTGGAGTTAGACAGCTCCTGTCACCAAGATAACAGCAGTTTCACCATGTATTCATCAAGTATTTCCACATAATGAAATAATTTATTAATCTGGTTAAATGTTCTGTTTTCAGACATCCCCTACAGACTGAATCTTGTGAAATAGTGGCTGAAAGTAGAACTAATGATTGCTACAAGGATGTTTGACACAAAGGTTTCTTCTTTTTTTTTTAATTTATCTTTGCACTGTGTAGTACTGAATTACAGTAATTATTTTCAAGAACAGCAATCCTATAGTACAATGTATTTTTATGTGATTAGGCTCTAAAAAAAGTTTACAAAAGTCTATTAGAAGAGATTTCTTGGAAAGGAATTTTTTTCCCCGAACATTGCATTGTTTCATTTTGACGGAAAATATTTTTGTTTCTTTTGCTCATGTCAGTATTTTAATACTGTTTTATATTTTTCTTCCACAAAATTGTTTAATCAGTCAAATTTAAAATAGAAACTTAAATTTAAATGTATATGTGTCTAAAATAAATGTACTTCTATTTTATGGATGAGTGTACAAAATATGCAGTAAAGTTAATGAAATAAAATGAGGAACAGAAAGACCTTTGAATGTATTGTGTAATTTCTACTTATTCAGTTGAATATCACATGGAGAGATCTTTTCAGGAGCTGAAAGATCAGAGCAGCATCATATAACTAGTTACATATGGAGTACAGTACTGAAGTAATTTATTTCTGTTACGATTTCAGTTTCTTCTAGGCTACTGTTGTTACTATTATCAATAGTGTTAATCAAAAACAAACTCATGATTTGATCTGCAAATGATTTAAAAAGGCACGAAAAGCTTTTTTATTTATTATCTGTGAGAATCCACTCACTTCCCATCTCCCAAAACAGGGATTTTATTGATCACTCTTTCTACCCCTTCTGGCCTGCTTATTCTGTCTGTAAACTAAATCACCACAGAATTGTATTGCAACAGATCTAGTACATATTTGCTCCAATTTCCAGTCTGTGTCTTCTATTAAATCTATGATTATTCTATTGTCCTCTAGCAAAAATGTGCCTTTTGGTTTTCTTTGTGTACCATCCTAAATATATATTTTGATTCTGTAACTACTGGATTAAATAATTATTAGAAATTAATATATTAGAAAAATAAGCTTTGATCTCCTCCATGGGATTAGTCATTTTATTCTTAAGAAAAGGTCAAAGGCAAAGTGAACAAAACTTAGTAGTTTTCAAATTCACTGTCATGTAATTTTCATATTGGTGCACTTATTTCAGCACTATTATATTTTAGATTATAAAACTAATTTGATTCAGTTGCATTTAAGTCCAAAACTGAAAAAAACCTAGAATCTTCAGGTCAGGTAAAGTGAGTAAAAAGGAGAGTGCGTAGAGCACAGTTCCATCTGATATGTTCTTTATTTTCTCTTGATAAAACTATTACAGCACAGGTTTTAACACACAAGAACAAAATGGTAAGAGCTAGGAAATTATTCTGTTGTAGGAGATGATTCAAGAAATTAAAGGTTCCTGAGATTAAGTGACCGGTTTTCTCCTAGATATAGTAATATAGGAACTTTGAATGTTAAAAGTGAGCAACAGATATGGAAATTACAGTGCACTGGTCAGATACTAAACCAAGATTTCAATTCCCCCATCCTACCTAGACTTTTTCTTATTTCAAGAAATTCACTAATTCAGCACACTTAATTCTAGGGAACCACTCAATAGTCCAAACATGGGTGTCTTGTGATATTTCCAGAGGTACTTGAGACATTCACAGAGGTCTGGAAGATAAGACAAAACCCTTGTACTTCTGGAGGGGCATCTTAAGGCTGGAGAAATTATTTAAAACAACAGTAGACCTCCTCATGCTTTGAGATTAAATATGTACTTCAAGCTACTCATATAGAGTTCTGTTCACTTTCTCAGACATTGCCTTGCAATCCTGTTTCATCTAAAGTTGATGCTCAGATGATCTGTGGACATCGTACCCGCACTCAGAATACAGAATCACAGAATTGTTAAGGTTGGAAGGGATCTCTGGAGATCATCCAGATCAATCCCCCTACCAAGGCAGGGTCACGTAGAGCAGGTTACACAGAAATGTCTTTTTTGAATGTCTCCAGGTAGGCAGACTCCACGACCTCACTGAGTAGCCTGTTCCAGTGCTCTGTCACTCTCAATGTAAGCAGTGCTTCCTCATGTTAAGGTAAAATTTCTTGTGGTTTAGCTTATGACCATTGCTCCTTGTCCTGTCAGTGGGCACCACTGAAAAGAGTCTGGCATCATCCTCTTGGCACTCACCTTTGAGTTATTTATATACATTAATAAGATCCCCTCTCAGTCTTTCCTCTCTCTAGACTAAAAAGGCCCAGCTCACAGGGTTTCTCATTATGTGATGTAGACTCCAAATCATCTTTGTTGCCCTCCACTGTACCCACTCCTTGTCTTTCTTGTACTGAGGAGCCCAGATGTGGACACAGAATTCCTAATTTGGCCTCACTAGTGCTGAGTAGAGGAGGAGGAGGATCACCTCCCTTGACCTGCTGGCCACAGTCTTCCTGATGCACCCCAGACACCATTGGCCCTCTTGGCTGCAATGGCACACTGCCAGCTCACGGTTCACTTGTCATCCACCAAGACTCCCAGGTCTTTCTCAGCAGAACTGAAAAGCAGCCTACATAGCAACCTGCTCTGAAGGTCTGAATCACTATCCATCAGGGCTTCTCAGTTTCCCTGGCCATGCAAGCAGCCTAAATTACTAACTGAAACTGATGGCTTGACTTCCTATATGAATAAAAGTGCATGAGATGAATGTCATAATAATTTTTCTTTCTTAGTGTTTCTGTTGACTATCTTACCTCACAGGGCGATATAAGAATAGATTCCCTAAAAATCCTGGAGCTATGGCAGTGATGAGTGGAGCATAAATACTTGTGTGAAGCTCTGCTCCTAAGTGAGAATGGGTGACAGATGCCAAATTAAAATGTCTTTCCAAAAGAAGAAAAAGGAACACTCAGACACATGGATTTTTTTTATGAAGTTTAATGCTGAAGATGACTGGCTAAGCCAAGAATAAAAAAAAGGGAATTTTATGTTTTCTTACCATTTTTCTCCTTTATATTTTTACCTGAAACTTGGTTCAGAGGATCACTTAATATAAATATATGAAACTATTCACATTGCTCAAAGAAACTGGGGTACTTTTATGAGCAAGGGATACTTGATTAAAACACTTGCATGTGCAAAGGAAGGTATGATTGTATTTGCAGTGCAAGTATGTCTTCTCTTTCCCTCTCCGTCCCTTGAAAAAATTGACCAACTCATTGCAACACGTCTATTAAGTGAACCCCAAAGGTTAACAGACCATAGCAGATAATTTTTACTTGAAATCACGATCTCCCTTCTCCTTACATTTTACATGTCAAAAGAAGAAAAACACTCTTACTTTCAATTAATGTAATGACATTTATATTTTCAACAGCAATGGTGGCAGAAAAGATAAGAACTGATAATACTGAAGCAATATATAAGTCAGAGGTGTGAACTGACTATTACAGGTATGAAGGCAAAATATGCTGGAAGAATAAAACTTACAAATACCTGTGCAGTTGTTAAAGACTAGTACATCTGACAATTTTACACAGGCCTACCATGACCTGTAGACTTGGTTAGCTACCTAGAAACTTTGGTCCACTTTGCAAACAAGGATGTAATGATCAGATTTTCATGGATATTTGGTAGGTTTCATCTGCTTTAATATTGAGTATGTATGATGTAGGTAGCTAGATCTGAGCCTGTGATCAGTGATTTCATTGGTAATCTCAGGGACTAGTGGTCCATTTCAGAGAGTGAATGTATGCAGTGTGTATGTCAAGTATTTGTCATAAAAATTTGCTGCCAATGTGATGCCCCAATTGTTACATCATAAACATAACCCTTAAGATTTAGGTCATACTATAATGAGTAAAACAGTTGGTGTACAGTACTGTAAGTCATGGAAATAACTTTACACTTACAACATTCATTCAAGGAATTCTCTTTTTTCTTTCTTCAGTTTTTCTTCTCACAACTTTTCCTCTCATAATTTTTCCATTCTGCTTTCTTGTTGCAGAAAAAGGATCCCACACAAAATTACATACACATGTATTTATGTATTTATTTGACTGATCCAGAGACAGTTCATTTCTGTCTCAGTGTGAAACAATATTTTGTTCTCTATTATAAAAATATGCGTTATTTAAAAGAATTCCTCTACAACTGAATGCTTGGAGTTCACCAGAAATTACTTATCAGCACATTTCTGCAGCTTGAAAAGGAAATGGGTGGTATGGTTAGTAGCAGACACATAATTTGTGATGAAAAATAGTGGGAAAATAAAAATAATCCCTCTTAATTGTTTCAGTGGGAGCTATTTCTCCATGTTTCCATTAATTCTAATCTCTCCTTCTATTTTTTTCCTCAATCTCTCTTCCCAGTCAAGCACCTCTTGTATTACAGTGCCTGGAGATGGATAAACAGTGAGATACAATAGCAGAGAAAGTGAAAAATGCATCACCAGCGTGCAAGTACCCTTAGCATTTATACAGCAGCTGCTTCAGGCAGACTTTTTAAAATTGAAGGTAGAAGACAGGTGTTTTCTGAGGTGCAGATATAATTTTCAGATCATACACATAAAATAAAAGTGTTATCATACCTTGTGATTGTTGTATGTGTAAGATTTAGTAGTCACTGTGAAGTAACCACTTACGGAAATTGTCCTACTCTGACATTTCTCAGACAGCTGGAACTTACCCAATAAACCCAATTTTAATATTTTTGGTTGTTTTGAAGATTGTTTTTTTCCCCAGTGAGGGAGTTAATTCCTTTCACGCAGCCGTACAAGTGAGTTAGATTTCATGAGTGGAAATTTTGCAAAATTAAGACCAAAATTAATGGGGCAGTGAGAGGAACTAATAAAATTTATGAGACTGAAGACAGTCTCTGAAAGATCTTGTTAGGAGTACCTAATGAAGCAAAGATAGAACAATCTACAAAACCCCTAAAGAGAACTCCATAGTGGAGGAGAAAAGAGAAGTTTTGCTAAGCGAGAAACTGTGTACAAGGAGGGTGGGCAGAGAGGAACTGGTAGAAATTTGTGTATGGATGGGAAGGGTAAAGGAAATATTTCAACGTTTTATTTATGTCAATGAAAAGAAGTATCAGGATTTTTATGTCAGAATTTAAAAAAGATAAGAGAAATATTAAACTCTATGAAAAATGTCAATATGTATATTTTACAATACTTAAAGACAAAGATAAAAGTCCTATATAGATTAACACTGTGGAGACCCAGAGCAACAGTCTGAAAAGACCTAAGTATGCAAGAAAGACAAACAGTGCAATGTATTAAGAAAAGATTATTGAAAGAATGAGTAAGACCTAACTGTCTTACTCAGTTGTCTATTCTGCCTCTTTATAAGGCTAAAAATTCTAGAATGAATGAAAGCCAAGAATCAGTAATGGAGGAGGAAAAGAGAAGAAAAGCCCCAAACAACCCATAATTACCAATATGGAGTACTGAATTCTTGGTTTTACCAACGGTGAACTTGCCAAAGAGAAACTTGCCAATGTTACTTTCAAAAATATTTTTTTCTAATTTTGGACATAGAAGAATTTGTTTCTAAGACTGCAAGTATGATGGCTTTGTGGTAAAAAAAAAATAAAATATAAATATATATTTTATACATAATTATATTATATAATAACATTATATATATATATATATTTAAGAAGTATTTTTTAGACTCACTGTTAAGATTAGGCAAAGCAATCCAAAGGACTATCTTAGGAACATAAGTGGAAGCTTCAGCATTACATAGGAAAAGATCTATAAGAAATCATTCTTGTACTGTAGTTGGGCTCAGTAGATTTTATACCTATTTTCTCTTGTTTCACACAGCTTTGGGTAGTGTAAAGATGTGGGCTTACTTTTCCTTAAGATAAGGAAATCTGTTCCTTACTATGCAGGGATATTTCTCCCTGCAAAGTGACAATGGCATAGCCTCCAGCATTACTTTTTCTTTCAGTGGTATATACATTTATAGACAGTGTACTATTTAACTTCTGATCTAAGATATGAAAAAAGGAACTTTGATACTACTTATTTTTCTCTTTCGAAAAATCTTTCAGGAGAAAGATAAATAATTAAATATGAAGTCTACTGTCTTAATAGTAGTTATAACCATAACTTCAATGCCTTTAGGTTTCAAGATACTTAGCCATATATAACTAAAACTACAAGACAAAAGATGACATTACTCACTTAACCCACTAGTGAGCAGGCTGGGAGTGCACAAGGAGCTGGGAGGGGACACAGCTGGGACAGCTGATGCCAACTGACCAAAGGGATGTCCCACACCATATGGTGTCATGCTCAGTATGTTAAGTTGGGGAAGAAGGAGGAAGGGGGCAACTTTCAGAGTGATGGCATTTGTCCTCCCAAGACACTGTTACATATGGTGGAGCCTGGTTGAGCACCTACCTGCCAGTGGGAAACAGTGAATGAATTCCTTGCTTTGCTTTGCTGGCATGCACAGCTCTTGCTTTACCTATTAAACTGCATTTATCTCAACCCACAATTTTTTTCACTTTTTGTCTTTTGATTCTCTCCCTCACACCACTAGGGGTGAGTGAGTGGCTGTGTGGTGTTCAACTGTCACCTGGGTTCACTGTCACGATGTTCACCTTTGAGAATTTTTCAGCACATATTTTTCTTGCAAGCTTATTGGTTATGAAATGTCTCTCTTTAACAGTTTGTCACTGCAACTGTGTCAGATTCAACTTTTGATAACTACATTCTATTCAGGGAAATTATCATAGGTTTAATTTAGACAACATATTTTTCTATTATCTTCTGTTACTTCAAGTCATATGTTTTACTGCTGATCAGCTGATATGTTCCACTAAAAACTGACTGGAGCACTGTGGTAAGCTATGCAAAGGAAGTTATGTAGAGCTTGATGTTTTTTCATGAAAATCTGGTATCTGTGGTATATACTTATTTAATAATTTCATAGTACCGTACAAATATTTAATTAACTTCAGAGTG